ACTAGAGCTATAGGAGGCTGCCAACTTGTTTAATTTAATGGGAATTTCTCCCCCCCCCCACCGCCCATCTTTCTGTTAGTGTTCCCATTATAGAGGACAGAAATAAAATAATGATCTCTAGAAAGAGAATGTTATTAGAGTTCCATCTGTCACCATTCCTGTGTTTGCTAAATGAATCAATTGGACCTCATAATGATACTTGAATTTTATTTTTTTAATTTATTACGGTCTAGCTCAGGGATGTCAAACTCACGGTGTCACATTGTCATCATGTGACGTATTGCAACTTTCTCCCTTCGCTAAAGCGGGGGTGGGCATGACCAGTGTGTGATGCATCCGGCCTGTGGGCCCCAAGTTTTACACCCCTAGTCTAATTTATTTCTAGTGAGTTTTTTCCTTTTACTGAAAAAAATGATTCTACAATAGTTATGTCATCAAAGCAGGACTTTTTCTTAATGACTGTGTGGATAAATGCCTTGCCATTTTGTTATTCCAGATATGTACATATTGAAAGAGAGACAACATTTATTATTGCATTTTAAGAAGTGGGAAAAGTGGCTGTTGATGATTTAAAATAACATGATTTACATTTTCACAGCAGAAATGTAGCATAAGTGAATGGATTAATCTTCCCTTCTGATTTTAGTCAAGGTTTCGTCAAGGTTCATGACCACATTCACTGAAAAGGAAAGGATTTGCCTTTTTTGTTCCAATTCATCCTAAGGCATTTGACGGATTTTCACCTGATTTTCTGTACTCATATTTTGTTGAAAACTGAGTTTCTAAAAAAAAGTTAGTTTTTTTTACTTCTAGTGTAATTTTTTTTCCTATCAAAGACTGAGAGGAAACATAGTTTTATGAAAAAGTTCAGGCATCCCTGATTAAATTGTATGTTTCAGCAAATCGCTAGGTAAACAGAAACTGACATACAGTAAGTACAAAGTCTAATATGACAACCTTCCTCAAATTTAAATGCATACTTACTATTTAGGTGCAATTGTTTACATATTCCAAATGAGAAAACAATGAATATGGCAGATATGGAAAACTGGACACCCCTTCCAGTCAGGACTTTACTGTACTCCTTTTGACAGAAATGATAGTTTCCAAATCATTCTGCTTTTGCGTTTTAGTTTTTTTTCTCCATTCTTCCCTAGTTTAAAATATTTTAATCTGTCCTTGCATGCATTGCTTGTTTTGAGAACTCCTACAAATTTTGAATATTATTAATATCAAGATGGGGGAATATGAAGACATTCCAAAACATTGATATTTTTTCCCTTTTATGAATGATAGGGAGTTATGTTCCAAATTCTTCTCTTGAAATATCCAGCCTCTTTTCCTCTTCAGGAACTATTGATTTTTTCCAAAGGAGATAGTAAAAATCGAAGGAGTGTCAAATCCTATTACACTTGTCATAGGTGCTGTTTTCTTATTTTGAATAGGTAATGGCTGTTCATATATAATAGCATGCATTCAGATTTATAGAAAGATGTCACATTTACCTTTGTTCGATGTACAAGTTTTGTCAAATTCTGTTTGCTTACAGTTTCATTGAAATGAAATTTATTAGGCGTCCCTAAACTTTTGTATACAATTGTATGATAAAAAAAGCTTAAAATGTATTAAACTAAATAATTCAAAACAGTGAAATTTACTACGTTAGTCCAAGATTGCTCAGAAATTTCTATAGAAATTGAATAAGTTAATAAATAAATAAGTACAGGCATTTCATTTTGTTTAGCTTCATATGTATGTACAGTAAAAAAATAAACCAATTAGGTAATTTAATTGTCATCTGCAATTTGTTGTTGTGTTATTTTTATTAAAAAGCACCCAGACCTGTGTGGAATGTGAAGCACATCAATAGAGAAATCATTCTAAACTCCTCCCCCCTGCCAAAATATGCATTTTTAAACACAGATGTCTTCCAGTCTGGATTTTTTCCAGTCTTACTATCTAATATATATATTTAGTACATACTGTATTCTACTTGATGGAAAATATAACACAGTGCCTAGAACTGGCTTTTTGAATGTTCCCCTTCTGAAATAAGATGTATTTTATATTCTTTTGTGAACAATAGATTGCAACACTTAACTAAGTGAAAAGCCTTTCAATGTTGACATCATGAATATAGAAAAAGCAAATTCAAGTATTTTCCAAGATGAAATGAAAGTAGACAAACCATACTTGGGCTGCTAAAATCTGAGTGACCATGATAACAAGAAAATTATTAAGTTTTGGAGTTCAGATATGTGTGTTCTTAGTATTCAGACTGAATAAACAAACCCTTGCTTGTCACATGGAGTGAAATGTCCACAAAATATTTTGATATTGATCTTTTGTAGACTGAGAACCCAGTTACCAAGTATGTTCAATAAACCTAGGCTACTTCTGTTTCATGACACCCATCAGTATAGATATGGTATGTCTTACTGAACAAATTATACATTGTTACCTGAAATGGTGATATTTCTAGTTCTTGCTGGCTTATTTTCAGCATCATGCTCTCAGAAAGCAGGTAGATTCTAGGGAATCACTCAGGAATGGGTTATAAAGGAATCTAGGGCTACTTACTCCTTAGGGCCTTTAAAAGCAATATTTCATAGTGAGACATTATAAAGGTTACAGAATAGATACAATAAGATCACTATTAATTCAGTGAGTAGGCATTGTTAAATTTTTGACAAGCTGAAAAAGAACACTTCATGGAGCATTATAGAAATCATGTCTTGTGGTTACCTACATAGGCACGCACATATGCCTTTTAATAAAGATTGTTGTAGCTGAATATGCTATCTTGTAGAAATGCATGATTCTGTTCCACCCTGGCAACCTGTAATAACATGTAGGGAAGATGGAGAGACAATCTTAATGTTTTTCTTTCCAATCAATATTATTTTTACATCCCTAACTAATAAAGCATGACATTCTGACTTATTTAGCTTCTGGACTTCTATCAAGCATTGTGAAACTGAAATGGAACTTCTAGGGCAGGGTTGACAAACTCACATTGGCCAGGCAGCGTCACGTGACATATCAGGACTTTTTTCCACTTCACTAAACCGAGTGGGAGTGGGGCCAGCACATGACTCATCTGGCCCGCGGGCTGTGAGTTTGATACTCCTGTTCTAGGGCTTCTGATTCAAGATGCTGCTTCTTGGTGTCTCATCCATAAAAGGATGAGTTGAATTTGAATTTGGTTGCTTCTGTTATTTCTATGAAAGACTTCTGAGTAACAGGAAAGTGGGAGAACTTTAAGGGACACCATATCATAAGACATTTGAAGACAACAAATAACCACCCATTAATACCATTGATACTGGTTTGTAGACATCGCTGAAGTTCAGTTGATATCTCCAGTCATCGTTTATCACAAATTCAAAAAGATACATAAAATTCACTCATATTTAAGGCCATGAAACTCATCTTCTCGTTTTTCTTCTGTTTAAAATTATGGATCAAAGAGATGAGGAAATCACATAAGCATTCAAAACTAATTAAAAATGTTTACTTCTGCATAAAAGTTAAAATAGCTACCAGCAATTAAACAAGCAGTTTGGATGGAACCATTGACTAAAATGCTGCTAACTGGGTTGGACTGTGGAGTTTCTGTGGCCACAAAATGATAGTCTGACAATAGTGCTAATTAAACTTGCCCTGAAACTGACAAGGTGGTAATCAAACTAGGCAACAAGTGTGACATAATATATTAAACTATAAATAATATTTCAGGACAAGATTAAGTATCTTGTCCACTCTGTAAAGTTCCATGAAGTCATATATAAAACATAATAGCTTTTCTAAGAAGTGGCTTTGCCTAGAAATGTAATGAAACTCCTTGAGAAGATGTTCCCAAGATGGTTTACCACCAACTCTAACCCTGAGAATAATAAAGGAAATTGACTACTCTATGCTGGTTTTTCTTTTGTTAGCCAGAGTTGATGTGGTTGCCTTCATATGTGAGCCCAGGACAGTTGTTCCCATTCTCCATGGAGCTTTTGAAAACTCCAGCTTTTGTGTAATTCAATCAGATACCAATATTTCCTAGTCTACACTTTACGAAGCCATTGTAAGCCACTACACAAGAGGAACTAAAGCTGTAGCATCATATACAAAGTCAGTATTATTAAATGATCCCTGAAGTAGACCACTTTGAAGAGCAAAACTCCCTCTAGGCAACTTATGAGAAATATATGGATGATAAAAGTTTGGCAATAAAAGCATAAAAGAATATTGATAAAACTGATACACATCCATAGTTGAAACTTGCAATATTGTATTAAAATAAGATGGTTATAATTAACAAGCCACTTACTATAGCTTATAATAGATAAGCACAAAGGCTTCCAGCCAAGTTGAATACCAACACTATAAAATGTTATTTTCCGTAATTCTAAATTTCCACCTTTGGTACCTTTGTTTTTGTTTTAGGAAACCATTATATTCTGAAGGAAGCATGTCCGGTTTAAAAAGATTCCATCTAGCTGAAGCCTGGGAGGCTCCCATGTTTAAAAGTTGGCCTTTAACATTTCTGGCAAGAACATTGTTGTCTAGCCCTTTCACTTGGTTCCTGAATTTCCAGAACAATCATGTCCTTGGCAAGGAAACCATTTCTTTTGAGTAAAAGGTTAAGAATGAGTGGAAATTTGATGAAAAGTTAAATGTGTTCCTTGTGTATGGTACCATTTCTGGATTTTCCGGGAAGCAGTGTTTTGTCTGGTGGTAAGGACAGAGGGGACGATTTCTAATTCATGTTATGTGTTCATTAAAAGCAGACAGGAACAAAAATGAAAGTTTATATTTCCTTCACTTTGTTTTTGATCACTCTTTGAACCAGTCATCTAAAGATTCTGTAAAATTACTTGAATAGAACCTTTATAGGCTTAATTATTACTTAATCTTAATTAAATGGAAGCCCATGTTCAGACTTGAGTATGCAGCATGTTCTTACTTGAGTTGCAATTTTTAAAATATTCTTTTCTTTTTTCTTCCAGATAATAATAGGAGAGGCCCTTTCGGTATATCACAACTGTTTGCACTCTAACTCATTTGTGAGAAATAACTACGTTGCTGCTATTTACAAGGCTCTGGGGACATTCCTTTTTGGTGCAGCTGTTAGCCAATCTTTGACAGACATTGCCAAATATTCAATAGGTAGATTGAGACCTCACTTTCTGGACATATGTAAACCAGATTGGCGTAGTATCAACTGTAGTGCTGGTTACATTGAAAACTTCAAATGCCTTGGAGACAAAGTAAAGGTTAACGAAGGAAGGTAAGCCTGTCAACCTGTGTGCCTGGGCAAAAAAATATTTTATATTTTCTTTTTGATAAAAATGGGAAATTAACTATTTTGTAAATAGGGTTCACGACATCTCATCATTTGTCTTCCACTAGCATACAGAAGGTATTGTGCGTTTTTGCTCTCATTAACAAGAAAAACATTCCAGATTTCATTCCATTAACTAGTACTGTACAAAATAATTAGCATATGCAAATTATTTCTAGTTATATATAAGATTCTAGTTATAAAACAACTGAAGCCATGAAAAGAGAAAAGTGGAAAACATTTGCATCTGTGATTTGATAGGCATTATCACTTTGGTCTTTGTTGTTCCCTTTTAATGCATAGGCTTTATGCAGAGCTAGACAGAGGTGTATCCTAAAGATTAATGTGTTAATTACAGCACATTTCACATTCTTGAAGTTGTTTTTCTGTACAGAATCATTCCTTTTATTTCCTGCTATTCAAGCTGTGAAGTTGTTGGTATGTAGCTGGAGTAGCACCACCCAGACGTAGGAGGAAAGGGATTTCAATTTTTATGGGAATGCCAGGGCTTACAAAAATACAATTAAAAATTAAAGAAACCCACCCAAAAGATCCTTGCAGTTAGGATGGCAATGTGCCATGGCTCAGAAAGAACTACCCAGTATTCCATTAAAATCTCAGATTTGTGCTTTTTTGGAATATCACAATCCGTTTCGAAAGTCTGAAAGTGAGAGGGAGGGGGGAAGGGGAGAGGGAGGGACAGAAGGAAGGAAGAAAGGAACCAAATTACTTGTGGCATGCCCAAACCCATATCAGAATCAAAATTCCTTAAATTTTTAGATTATTGCCTAAAAATACCAGAGGAACAAAATGCTTCTAAATGAATTTATTTATATTACTGCTGAAAGAATATCCATGTTTTAAAAGAAAGTCAGTAAGGAAGGAAGATTGCAGATGAAAGACACTTAAGAATTAAAACATTGCTTTTCCTCCCTAAGCACAATTATAATTGTTGGTGTGAAAACATAGCTGTATTCCATCCACAGTATACTGAAGATTGTCACTTTTTTCCTGTCTGTTTTGATCACTTTTTTCCTTTTTGAAACAAGCTCTATCATGACTCAATTTTAGTCTCTTTGGGGTCTATATTCTGCTCTCCCATTTTTCTCTTGTTCTCCTCACGTTCAGAAAAACCGGCAGCTTCTTTCTCCCTTGTTTATTTTTTCTTTCCAACAAATGCAGACTATTCATACTGAGTTAAATCAAGATTTCTGTATGATTTCTGTAGGAAACATTAAATCTTACTTCCTGGTTATTCTGATTAAGGAATTTGCTTCTCTCTTCAGTACATTAAAAAGAAAATGATAGGTCATGTTCTTTATTCCAAAAAAGAAGTAAAATTCAGGAATCGTTTTATTAAAAATGTGCTGTGGATCATTGGAGCTTCTTTTGGAGATGAAAAAAATATTTTCATTTTCACCTTATTTAAGTAAGTGATTCGGGAGGCAACAAACAGAAAAAGTGACAGCCTCTTTTAAGGGCTTCTCTTGCACAGTATAAATTGACTAAGAGCCAAAAAGAAATATCCATCTTCCCCAGAGGGAACTTCTCCCATGATGGATGTTTGGATCTGGGATATCCACCCAGTTTTGGAGGCAAATTTCTAACCTCTCTGAATTTAAAAAATAATAATGCTAAGAGCATTTAAAAATTGGGGGGGCTCAGGGTATTTGGACCTTTTTCAGCATACAAGTGATTACGAGTCTTCCAACTCTCGTTTTTTAGCTGAAAAAATGTCCCAACAGCCGGGAGTTTTATCCAGAGACTTCTCTTAATACAGGTCGTGAGTCCATATAAGAAAGAGAACCAGTTTGCTGTTGTGGTTTAATCCTAAACTCGAAACTGATTCCATAAGCAACAAAACAAAGAAGATCCTTTGCCACTGCAAAAGGTGCAATCCTTTTCTCCATGATTTTTTAAAGAAAAAAATAAATCCCTGAAGTTCTCTTGGCAAGATTTCAGAATAGGTTTGCCATTGTTTCCTTTCTAAGGCTGAAAGAGAACAACTGGCCCAAAATCACCCAACTGCTGCTTCCCCAAGGCAGAACTAGAATCCAGGGTCTCACATTTTCTAGCCTGATTTAACCTAGACCAAACTGGCTCTCCAAACTGAACCTACAAAGTTAACAATGGAGCCTTACCTTTGAGGAAGATTGGAGAATCAAAAGAGAACTGCCATTTTGAGAAAGATAAGTTTAGGTGTAAATGAGTATCCTTTTGTTGATATTGTGGATTGATTTGAATTGAATTGTGTTTTTATGCTCATATATTTTGCTCTATCTGTCTTATGTATGTATTTGCATATGTATTTTCTCCTGGATAATTAGCTGCAAGTGAAAGCCTTAATCTATCCTAAATCTATCCATGTATCCTAAATACATGGCTTACATTTCTTTGGAACTGAGTAGCATTCCAATATTATTTAACTCTCATGCATCTTGGCCATTCTGCTAGTCATGGGAAGATTTTTACTTTTTTTCTCCTGAGTGACGATGCAGGGAAAAATGTCACGCATAGATCTGTAATAATGAAAGGAAAATAATATTCTGATAGAAGAGAGTATCTGTAGCTCAGGGTTGAACTGCAGAGTCCTTGGTGCTCTGTGAGTTTGGCTGTTTGCTTGCAGATGTTTCATCATCCAGATTAGGTAGCGTGATGGTGCTCCATGGAATATAATATATTTTAACATATACTAATGCAAATAAATGAATATTTTGTAATTAGACAGAACCAGATATGAGGATTTGAAACCAAATAGTGCTTGAGAATACATGCTTTGTATGCTGAATTTCTCTGTTTCATTTCCTGGTATCTCCACGTATTTATTGATTTAGTGGTGGACATCCAATTTAATAAAAATTTCCAATGTGGCTCTAAAAACTGATAGAAGGGATCATTTTCCTGTAATTCTACTGAATAGACAATTATGGACTAGGTTTTATTCAATGCAAAGCAGCTGCATATGGCCATATGATTGACTTTAAATGAACACTTTGAAAAAGTTGACTGCAAATTCTGTAAATGATTCTTAAAATGTAAATATTTTACATTTCTCTACAAAATGCATCCCGGGGTGCTTTACAAAGTGATTAAAGCAACTACCTCAATATTGTAATGATGTGACCTTCTATGCACTGTGTGACTAATATGAACAATGGCTCCTGGCAATACAGGTCATGGGACTAAGCTACAATGCAGAAATCCAAGTGATTATACTATCTTTAAAACAGGTTCAAAAACTGGAAAGATGAGAAACATTCAGAGGAGAGTTGTCCATTGGCTGTGTGTACAGCATGCATTGTTTTGATATTATTCTAATTAAGCAACTAATTACTGCAGTACAGTATGAGATAATTTGAGGATTTAAGAAAGAAAGCAAGAAATTAACCAAGGGTCTTGATTCATAAAATAATCTTGCTATTAATGAAATCTACAGAAATCCATTGATGTTATTCATATATCCAGTCTAGATAACTTCCACAAAGATGCTTTAGATCAGTGTTTTTCAGACTTGACAACTTTAAAATTTGTGGATTTCAACTCCGAGAATTAACCAGCCAGCATGCTTTAGAAGATATTCTCCCCTTAATAAATACAATATAACATAGACATCATTCTTTATCCATTGTATAAAATAAAATATGCTATAAGGCAGTAGTTTTACAATATAAAATGGCTATAACATGATGCCTTTCAAGAAGATTGTGGTAGTTCCTAAAAAATATGTGTATAGAGTGTGTTACTTTTGCAAAAGAATTGGAAAAAAAATGATTCTTTGCTTGTGGCTGAGCCTTCCCTGGATGCTAACTACGAGATGCTGTGATATTCATAAAGTCACAATTATGTGTTTAATTACTGAATACAGAAGAAAGAAATATACTGGCTTATTTCATTGAAGTTCAGTAGTTGCTGATTGTAGCATGAACTTGTGGCATGCTTGCAAGAATAAAACTGGCAAAATACCTTGATTTTTTTGATGTTACTCATTATCCCTTCTGATGCCCTACTATGACTAAGAATTCATCAATTCTGTCTTGCTGGAAAAAAAATCCTTTAAAGCATGAAGCACTTTGTAAATGAGATAGCAGCTTTTTGAAACAGGTGCGGGAATATCTAAGGCTGGTGCTGCCAATCTTTGAACTTCTGATGTCCAGACAAATAAAATAGGATTCTCATTCAAACATTGATAATTGTATTCATCATTGACTTGACTATTTGGGTTCATAAGATATCTGGAGATATATGCATACTTTTATAAACAAATGTGTATGTATACACACATACATACACATAAGATTACTGTATGCTTTGTTGCTATAAATAAAATATACGATCAGATATTCTTTTAGCTCTTAAACCTAAAGCTAAAGACATCAGAAGTTGCACCTAAGGATACTCTGGAATATTTTTCTACTGTAATCTAAAGATTACTGTGTTGTCTCAACTGTAATAAAGTTTTCATGAGGAAAAAGGAGCCTCCCTCAACCATATGGCTGCACAGCTTGGAAATGTTGAGGACTGTAAACCAAGGCATCTAGAGATTGCCAGAAGTAAGGAATTCTCAGCCAGGTAATTTCATCAGAAACTGGAATACTTGCTCATTGGGCTCAGAACCCAAAGAGCCATAAAATTAAATAGTATAAAATTAATATAGTATTTGATATACTATATTTTGGTTATTACCTGATTTTGAACCGTCTGTGTTACTTGGAGTCTCTGTGTTCTTGATTATCTCTCTCCTATGAACTAGTAAACTGGCTTGCATTCAGAAGGATTTCTGCCATTCAGCTGAATTGAATCTAGGGACTGCTACACCTTAGATGTTTCGTTACAAGTATTGTCATTTGAATGAGTATGTATGTGGAAGTTCCTAGCAAAATTAACTTCATTGAAAGTAAAATGAACAAATAAAATGGAAGCCCCTGGTTTGTCTGGTGAAAGGGTGT